ACATTTGAAATTTATATCTTTATTTGGACTTCAGGTATTTGTAAACATAAATTGTTCTTTAATTTTTCTTTAATAATTTTTCTGTAATAAATTTGTTATTGTTACAAGTTTGTTGCTGGCTTTTCTTTCTCGTTACGCCTGGCTCGTAACAGTATATCCATACATATTTATTATATTTGTTACCAGATAGGTAAGTTCACATTGGTTAGTTTGTTATAGAACGAAAAATAATTATTATAATAAAATAACAAAATTAATGCAGAAATGTGTTTGTTTTTTTATATAATTTGATAAAGCAGGAAATTTACCATTGAAACTTCTTATTTAGATATGAAACTATGTATCTAATAAGAAATGTCTTACTTGTTTTTTTAAGTACAATGTAGAATATATTAGCTACACTATCTGATAACATTATGGTTTGGATGTAAAATATGCAGATTATTTAACATTGAACTGTACGGCAATATATACTTGGGCTTTTACACAGGTAGAGACAGCATATCGTTTATGATCTCTTCAGCTGTGTACTGTCAAATTATACAGTTAAGTATTAAATAACCATAATTATTTTCATTGGTTACAATCAAGTCTTCTCACACATGTATTAAGAAATTATTCTCTCGTTTACGGGTTACAGTTATACATGTACGTCTACATCTAACAGTTAAACATATCTTTATAGTCATTTACAATAAAATTTGGTAATTATCTTGCAAAACAAGATATATCAATCGTTGAAACACAAAATCAGTTTACGAACTGTCTTCATATTTATGTTACTAATGCATGTAGTATGATGATAATTGAGTATGACAGGTATATAAGAAATTACATCAAATAAATGCATTGTCGCACAGAGTGTTAAGCTTTTCTTGTCACATTTAACATACAGCATAATTGACATAGACGTTAAGATGATGGAAAATGTCTGTTACGGGTATATGAATATATAAAAAAAAACAAGAATAAAGATCAACAAGATAAAGGCAACGTTTACAGTAAAAAGAAACTCATAGTTCTGTTAATGCGCGTTATCGGTATGGTGAGGTTTACATGATATTTGCCATTGATTTGTTCCGGCATCTTTAAAATCGCTAGCTAAGTCTAGAACAAAAATAACTGCAACAACCGCATCGTCACCATCAGCAGCAGCAGCAGCAGCAGCAATAACATTGAAGCCTCTATCACATCAGCCTTACTGCAGCAGTACGAACGCATTTTGACAAAAATTGCTGTTTCGCGCGGCAGGCGCAAGACAGTCGTACGAATTCTTAAGATTGTCGCAACGTTGTAGACTGATTTCTCAACATGTACATTATTTCTGCGATTTGACAGATTTTGGACGTCTCAAGACAGTCTTGAGACAATCGTCAGAACAGAGTCACGATTTCAAGACGTTCTCAAGTCATAATTTTTGCGTTTGTCTTGCGACGACCACAGAGTTGCCTTATTTTAGGAAAATAAAATAAATAATGAAAATGCAATATGTACTTTAATTTGCATCAAAAGTATTCCAGAAAACATTTTCAGAGTTCATAGATATATTGGAAAGTAATGGTTTTTGTGGAAATTATACGATTCCCTATAAATACCAGCGCACTTTAGGTTTAACAGACATAACTTGAATGCCATTTCGCAGTTGCAAGAAAGCAATTACTAGTAATGTTGTCCGCAAATTGCAATATGCGTTATCTGTCTACGATAATAAAATGTGTGATGTAATAATAACCGTTTTATGATTTTATGTACTTCTTCTTGTATATATTTACATGAAATATTTCAAATATGTACTTTATCTATTTGAAAAGTAAAGACATAAAGAAACTGTACAATTTACAACTCATATATGAGTTCAGTCCTAATGTATTTGATTCATAATCAAATTGTTTTGCGATACAATATCGCCAGTAAAAAGTCTCCACTGTTGCAGGAGAACTTTCCTTGTAGCTACGTAGAATTTTGTTCTCTTCAATATACAGCTAGAGTATCATCGAATTGTAAAATTCCTGCTAGAAATGTTATTTTTAAAACCAACTTACAGCGACAAATTTTTGAACAAATTAAGGAAGTTAAACAATTTGGCCTTGATAGAAAAACTTAAAATAAACTTAAAATATATACAGTTTGTGCAGCCGTCTTTAAAATTCATTTTACATCTAGAATGATAACGCATCTATATTAATTGTTTGAGCAACAACTATTGATTAAATCTTGCCATACATATAACAGGGTATTGCTAATAAATGACATAAATATGAAACTCTGTTACATTCAATATCTTGATAAATATTGTATCCTCATTAATGAATGGATTTCATATTTGGACAAAATAACCCTTTTAACAAGACATTCAATTACGCATATTGAAGGCCAGGTTCAAAAATAATTATAATCGTAATGTCTGTTTACTTGATGGATTTCTTTGAAAATTTTACACTATCCATTTCATAAGATATTTAATTTTCCGTCCTATGTGTGAACCTGACCGTTGGCTGGCCTGGAATCTTGAAGATATGAAAACTTTAAAGTACACGTATGTCATTTTATTATCCTCCGCCGATTAAACTTGGAAGGGATATTGTCGGACTTTTTGATATAGAGTTATGGCCCCTGAATAATTATGGTTCTGTATACAGAGCATTATTTATTTTTGCGCTACTTCACCGCAAGTGCTGACTGGATTTCATGGAAACTTAATGGGAACTGTGGTTGCTGTTGTTAATAATAACCAACAGTTGTCGGTTGATAGAAATTTAACGATTTTGCTTGTTTTCTTATTTTGGACGCATTTCTTTAATAAGATGGAGGGTGATTCGGGGAATTCAATTTTATATGCACTTCTTTTGGGGATATAAATGGGTTATTCTGTTCAAATATTAAAGAAAAGCCATGAGCTCAAAACATCGGGGTTTTGTTGTTTTGAGCTCATAGCATTGTAGTTTTGTCTTTAACATCGTGGAATCATTGCTTCAGTTATTAATTATCGTTGTTACAAGCTATCGTTCTTTCTTATATAGAATAATAAATGTACTTCGTTAATGCGCATCCTGATCAAGAACAGATCTCTCACGTGTACTCGAGTACACATTTCCAGGTATTCCTGAACATTCAGGATATCAAATTTGATATCTGTATCCGTGTATCCCTGAGTATATTAAAGTACTCGGTAGTTATCAGTAAATCCGAGAACATAAGACTAAATATCAGAATTGTATATAATAAGGCTATTACTATTATTAAAACAAAAATGATATCGTCCAGTAAGTTGGACATTTGATCTATTGAAATCAATGTCAACTGTTATTGTAGTGTGTTTTAATTGACCTTACGTTTATTGGATGAATGCACAAGTTGTTTTTTCATATTTGAAAACTTGAATCCTGAAAATTAAGAGAAGTCGTTAAATGACCAATTTACCGTTAGGCACAATTGATGAAATTTACCGGGCAATATCTTTGCACAAACTTAAAAGTACCAATTGCTTGAAACTGAAAGTTTTTTTAAGTTGCATTTTTTCTTACATTTAGTCAAGCTTGAGAAATGTGAACTATATCATATCTTATACAGATCTATGCAACGCCGTTGCATTTATATAACAGTTTGTATAAGTCAAACTGAAAAGTTCATCAATCATTTAGAAAAAATATATAATTATAAGGGGAAGGAAAATACTTACCGTTAACGACAATTTTACAAGGTAGACATTACAAAGCATGCAAACATTGACGACATGTAACAATACACGTGAAACACATGAAGGGACACATAATGACAGTGTGTTAAAAGTCTCCACTCAGGACTTTTGACATGACAGGGCTGAAAATATTATTTCAAGATTATGATGTACTCGTACATTGAAAATCTCTGTTTTACAAAATTTTATATCAACTGATCACTTCCATGTTTCAAGAACTATCATATTTTCTGACTGTGTAAAATGACCCGAAATTGAAAAATGTTTAAACATTTGTAACTGAAGCCATGCTTAGACTCGCATCTCATTGTCATGATGGTTTTTTTTGTAAATTTTTCTGTTTTAAGTGTCCTAGTTAATTTTTGTGAGAATTTTAAAGAGAAATATTTGCTGTAAGATTTTGTTTCATTTCTGAAGGATTATTCCTATAACAGTGTTGAAAAATAAGTTTCATATGTGACTATGAATGATTCTGTTTCTCATTATATGTAGTCTATATTGTAATAATATTGTTTATTAGAGTGCATACATTCATAGTCTCAAATATGTTCCGTTATGTTTTGTTATATTTTATAATGAATATCTTAAGGCGTTTTCAATACTGTCATATTGTTAAAGTGTCTAAAGCTATATATCCGCTGCAAAACATATTGTATGAATGTAAAAAAAGAAGTTTTTTTCCGTTTTTTTGTATGAAATAAATATGGTTGTGAACTGCCTTAAAACGGAATGGCGCATGCACGAGATAGTTGCTAAACTTAAAAAAGCAGAATATTTTGTTCAGGAACATTTTATTCTCTTTACGTACAATACTCGTGTGTAAAAATAGAGACATCCTATGTAACAACGCTTTTTAAAATCGACCTTAAGACAATGGAACCAATATATTTTTACTGTTGATAAATTTTATAATTTTATAAAAAAAAAATTTCGTAAGATAAAGCTTCATAATAGAAAAATTACGACACAGACAAATAATTTGCAACTTTATTATTTAATTTATTTGTAATTAAAAATGACCAGACTGTTTCATGATTAGATAAAAATTAAACATTATAAGAAGAATATCTGGGAAAAAGTGTTAAATCTATAATACTTTTTATAAACAATGAGACTTTAAATTGTGACTTTACTGGCTAAATATACGAGTATACTAGTAAATGCATTGTAGACAGAGTGTAGATAATAGCATTCACACCTTAAAGAAGGCCGACTTAATGGTATTGTGCATACACTGCTTAATCCAAATTTTCACACAGTTGATTTGTTATCATAGCTGGCTTAAATTTATGTTAGTTGATCATGACTATGTACAGTTAAATTCAATCAGTGACATTCGACAGTAGTGTATAAAAATTGAACTTAAAATTTCAACAACGTTAAAATATTTGGAATTGTATGATCCTACCAAATCCTCAATACTATGTAAGTTTCATACTTTATATTATATGACTTTACAGTAAGGTTAAATATGAACAAAACTATAGTTTTCTGAGAAGTTTTGCAATAAAATATTAAGACTCTTTAAATGTTAATATTTTACTGATATTAAAAGACTTTGCAGACTTCAATGCCCTGTTATTGTTACTGTTCTGTTAACTGTTATAGTTATATTACTGATACCGTTCTGATATTGTTCTTGTTACCAACTGTTATAGTTTCTGTTCCTGTTCTGTTATAGTTATTTAATGTTAGTCTTCTGGTGTTTTTCTACTTTGTTATAGTTATTCACTGTTACTGTTCTGTTACATTTATTTACTGTTACTGCTTTGTTAGAGTTACTGTTTTGTTAAAGTTATTTACTGTTACTGTTATTGCTATTTATTGTTACTGTTCTGTTACAGTTCCTGTTCTATTATAGTTATTAACTGTTCCTGTTCAGTTCCTGTTTTGTTATAGTTATTTAATGTTACTGTTCTGTTTTAATTATTTAGTGTTACTGTTCTGTTACTGTTCCTGTTCTTTTATTTTTTTTACTGTTACTTTTCTGTTACTGTTCATGTTCTGTTCTAGTTACTGTTCTGTTACTGTTCCGTTATGGTTATTCACTGTTCCTGTTCTGTTAAGGTTATTTACTGTTACTGTTTTGTTACACTTACTGTTCTGTTATTGTTACTGTGTTATAGTTATTCACTGTTACTGTTCCTGTTCTGTTATTGTTACTGTTCCTGTTCTGTTATAGTTATTTACTGTTACTGTTCATGTTCTGTTATAGTTATTTACTGTTCATGTTCTGTTCTAGTTACTGTTCTGTTATAGTTATTCACTGTTAAAGTTTTGTTATAGTTATTTACTGTTACTGTTTGTTATACTTACTGTTCTGTTATTTTTACTATTGTTCTGTTAAAGTTATTTACTGTTTCTGCTAATGTTCTGTTCTAGTTACTGTTCTGTTACTGTTCCTGTTCTTCACTGTTACTGTTTTGTTATAGTTATTTACTGTTCTGTTACACTTACTGTTCTGCTATTGTTATTTACTGTAACTGTTCTGTTACACCTACTGTTCTAGTTACTGTTCTTATTCTATTCCTGTTCTTCACTGTTACTGGATTTTGTTATAGTTTTTTACTGTTACTGTTCTGTAACACTTACTGTTCTGTTATTGTTACTGTTTCTGTTCTGTTATAGTTACTAACTGTTACTGTTCTGTTACACTTACTGTTATTTTATTGTTACTGTTCCTGTTTTGTTATAGTTATTTACTGTTACTGTTCTGTTATAGTTATTCACTGTTACTGTTCTGTTAAAGTTATTCACTGTTACTGTTCTGTTAAAGTTATTCACTGTTACTGTTCTGCTGTTCTGTTACTGTTCCTGTTTTGTTATAGTTATTTACTGTTCTGTTATAGTTCATGTTTTGTTATAGTTATTTACTGTTCCTGTTCTGTTATAGTTATTGACTGTAACTGTTTTGTTACACTAACTGTTCTGTTATTGTTACTGTTCCTGTTATGTTAAAGTTATTTACTGTTACTGTTCTGTTACACTTACTGTTATTTTATTGTTACTGTTCCTGTTTTGTTATCGTTATTTACTGTTACTGTTCTATTATAGTTATTCACTGTTACTGTTCTGTTATAGTTATTCACTGTTACTGTTCCTGTTCTGATAAAGTTATTTACTGTTACAGTTCCTGTTTTGTTACTGTTCCTGTTTTGTTTTAGTTATTTTTAGTTACTGTTCTGTTATAGTTCCTGTTTTGTTATAGTTTTTTACTGTTCCTGTTCTGTTATAGTTATTTACTGTTACTGTTCTGTTAAAGTTCCTGTTCTGTTACTGTTCCTGTTCTGTTATAGTTATTTACTGTTACTGTTCTGTTAAAGTTCCTGTTCTGTTATAGTTTTTTACTGTTCCTGTTCTGTTATAGTTATTTGCTGTAACTGTTCTGTTATAGTTATTTACTGTTACTGTTCTGTTATAGTTATTAACTGTTCTGTTACAGTTCCTGTTAAATCTCTTTTACAGTATTATGAATTTTTTAAAAGTGAAGTGACTGGTTACTTTCATGTGTTAACTGTTTTGTAAAACTTCCTTAATGTTTCAGTTTAATTACAATTATGTAACTTACTAACACTTGTTAACGAGTAATTTTAATTAACTTATTGCAGGAATCACGTAACAGCAACAGTTGATCAACCATACCGTAAGAACACTGAGGATTCACTAGATTTGAAACATGAATTCTGACCATTTTGTACTGAAGATTAAAGAACGGAGCCCTTGAATATTTAGCTGTTCAACAAATATATGAAACAATCACTTCTTTGCTTTGCTGGATCACCAGGGTTGAGAATACAAGAGTTTGAAAGACTATAGCACTTGCAGAGAATTACACAGGTATTAAATTTAATTGCTTAATTTTTTATGCCATTGAATGGCGGCATTTTAAAATCGCACCGTCTATTTGTGCGTCCCAATTTACACAACACTCGTGTCCGGGCTTGCATTGAAGGATTTTAAAATACCTTAGCAAACATATCTACCACATTAAGGTGATGTGTCGCGTCTAAGACCTCAAGCATCGAGGTCAAATTTACAGTTTGTAGGTTCACTTGCTCATTATAAGAGCTAAATGGTACACATATTCGTTTCCGGACTGTAACGTTGTCATACACAGAAGAATTTTAAATAACCTAGCATATATCTCAACTACGCCAAGACGACATGTCGCGTTTAAAGTCCATGTCCTTACCTCGAGATCAATGTAACACTTATAGCTTGAACCTACTCTCACAAGAATAGTCTGAAAGCACACATTCGTGTATGTATACGGACTGTAACTTTGGGTTTTAAAATAGCTTGGCATAAATATCTATCACATCAAGACAACATGTCGCGTGTATAGCCCATGCTACTACTTTTAAGAAAATATATATACATTTGATTTTCAAGACTTATGTCGTGAATGGAATAAGCATATTACCGTTTATGCATTGACATATAAAGACTTAAATACACATTGTTGTGTGTATGAGCTTTTATTTAAATAAATCTGGAAATTCACTACATTTTGATGAGTAAAATGATTTTCATTCACCCTGTTGCTTAAAATTAATAGATATGTTAATAGCTAGTTTGATGATTCTATGTTCGAGTCCTTCACTATACAAATATGTTTACCGTTTATGCTTCGTGATTGGTTTTGAATATATAAAATGTATTATACATGTATTTTGTTTCATTTTGATTATTGAATGATTTGTATTTACAGGTACACGATATAATTAATTTGGCAATACTCTCATTAATATATTAGATAAAAAAACTTTTATTTCGACTTTAGATGGAAGATCTATTCATCTTTTTATTCATATCTTCAATAACTTCGGGCTGGGATAGTAGGAACAGTTTTTTGAAATGTTATTGCTTTTTTTGTGTTTCAAAGTTTTACGTTTTGAAATAAGACTTTCATGCTAAGAATGTCGCTTGCCATCTTTGATTACAAGCCGAAGATTTCAGTCCTTGGCAGAGGTTAATTTGTAAATCTCGATACTGCTTGTGAAAGTACAGCTTCGGTGCAGTATTTTACTTATACCTTTTTCACTGAACCCTGTATAGCGTTCCTTCAGTTTGTTATACAAAACACGTGGTCCACATCCATTATTTATTCTAAATATGCTCTTATCGTACTGCGATAACTTTTCCTCAACAATGACCAGTTTTCTATTACAAAGTATCCTTCCGTACTGATAGAAAGGTCTTTTCTTTTCTGAAATAAATTAAGTGCGTTCATCTGATCTTTGCTCTCTGATTTACTGGAACTTTAAACTCGCCCTTTATTCTAGCAACAATAGCGTCGTACTTGGATTTGTAAATACACCCGATAGTATCGCTTTTCGCCATTTCCCAGATAACAGGTCTGAAATAAATAGTGCAAGAAATGAAAAACCTAAAAAAAAATAAAAAATTTATCATTCGAACTCTTTATAAAATGTTGATTAAATTCCTGTTGTTTGATGTTAATTTATTTTTGCTGTTATAATTCATTCAATTAAATTCATTCCGTGATAAAAGTCGGTGAACAGATGGATTCTTCCCCAAAAAGCATTGCAACAATTAAATAGAGGACATTTGTTGTTTTGCATGCAAGCTCGAAATATATTTAAATGAGTGAACACCAGATGCAAAATATAATAGCTGGTGCTCACTGACATGCAAAACAAACATGTTTTATTTATTTCATGCTTATTTTGTGATTTTAAGAACTGTTTTCAGATTTTGCCGCGTAACGTCATGTGTTCTTCTTCATGAAGTCTTCGAATCATGACGTCACATTATCAATGTTAAAATAATAGTTCTGTAAAATTTCTCCAAATTCGCTATTAGCATGATGTATGCAGAACTTTACTTGCTTCTTCTTAAACTATAATTTCGCACTATAAAAATTCAGAAGATGACAGAATTATTAAGTTTAATCCCTAAAGGACAACTGTATGCAAAATTCAAACAATTTTTTTTGTACGGTTTTGGACTTATGAACGATTTCTGAACTAAAGCCTGAGATGGGTTCATTTTTGGAAATAGGGAAACTTCAAATAATCTTTAATATCATTCTAAGGAAAAATGTTTTCTTGCTGATTATTATTAAGAAACAAAGGATAACAAATCACACATGCTTAATTATTTTTCCTACACAAACTATTTGAAATGTGTGTAATAATGCTACCTGCCCCACCCATTTTGAAGACCATTTTGGCCATGCTAACAGTGCCTAATTCAAAATATCATAAAAATCGACTGATTTGAGGGATTTTTTTCAAACTTTGTAAAAAAAATTTAAGAAGAATATTGCATGATCTTGCCAAATATAAAAAACTTTTACCGTGTAGCTTTATTTTTTAGTCAAATATATAGAGAACCCTTAAAGAAAGCCCAAACAACAGTATTGAAATGTTGCTGACTCGGTTTGATTGACTTTGAATTTATCAGGTACATTATTTGTTATTAAATTTGACATTATTTAGCCAAAAAGTACTTATAGAAATACAGAAGTATTATATATGAGAAATTTATAAATAATTTCAAAATAAAACAAGACTGCATTTGTTGAAAATGCTATGTCGACTCATTAAACTACACTTAATAGTAGGTATTTATAAGACCCAGGTCGGGCCCATTTAACCCTGGGGGTCATGATTTGAACAACTTTGGTATAGGTCTAATAGACAATGCTTCATGTAAAATATCTAAGCTATGGGCCTTATGGTCTTTAAGAAGAAGACTTTTAAAGATTTCACTATATAAAACGAATAATTCCCGTAGTGGAGCCAATTTGACCACGGGGTCACTATCTAAACAACTTTAATAAAGGTCAATTTGACAATGCTACATGTAAAATATCTAAGCTCTGGGCCTTTTGGTTTTGGAGAAGAGATTTCTAAATATATTAAGTATATAAACTATAACACACACATACACGCACGCACGCGCGCGCACACAGTTAAATCGCTATATGGCACCGCAAAGCAACAAACGGCGCGTTGTCGGGCTTTCGTCTTGTCGTCCTGTCGCTAACGATATGCGCCAAACGGCGCGTTAACGCTCGGTTCAAATCGAAGCCAAACGACAACGAGCCGTTTGACTCTTTGTCGTGTTGTCGCTATGCGATAACGATAAATTGATTTTAATAAGCTTAACAATGGAGATTTATTTACTCAAGAAACAAAATCACATTACTCTACTAGTACCCAAGATAAAACATGACCCTTAGATATACCGAAAAATTATTTTAGACTGATGGTAGAAAAATAATCAGGGGCATTTAGAAATGACTTAAGAATCATTTTTTTTCAAGCACACAAGTTAATTAAACAATCTGGCACTAAACGTTATTCTCTCAAAGAAATATAAAGAGTATGTATCAGTATAGATAACAATAAAACAACATTTTCTTATTTTTATTTTGTGCTATCATGTTTTCTGAGTTAATCGAAGAGTTAAACTGAATGACAGATATTTGTTTGAATTGACAACAGTCCGTTTCTTAGAAAGGGCAACAACCAAGATAGCGGCGATGTCTGTACCCGATATATAAAAGCTTTCATTATTAAAACAGTGCATGACTCTTTCTGCAAATAGGCCAAATCGGCGTCAATTTTGTTTATTTGTTATTTTTTAAATTTTTTTTATTTACCGGCCCTTTATGTATTGCACATAGGTAAAAACGGGCTATAACAAGAGCGCGTGACTCTGTGAACACATGGTTTTGGTCCCGTTCAAACATGAGCAAAAGAGGGGGAAATAGCCGATTTTATGCTATAATATATGAAATGATTTAAAGAATAATAATTTTACATTTGCCAATTTCAGCCATAGTTTTCAAATATATGACTTTGTAAGTAAAATCTCTAATGCAGACGCCTTTATGTAAGATGCAATTATGGGATTGCTGCTTTATGAGTATATATAGAAGTGTTTACTTAGACATTGATACATAACATTCCGTCTGCTCTATTATTGAACTGTACATTTCAACGGTTTCATTTTAGTATGAAAAATCTAGGTTGTCACAATAAAATATGTTTCTCCGTTTATGTTAAATAGATTCTCACAAAAATATTCACTTACGGTTCTATGTTTATTTTGTTATCTTTGACAATGCATTGCTTTACATGGAATACAAAATTAACAAACACGCATTATCATGGTTTGAGGAATCTATGCTGTCAAAAAGTGTCTGTGAATATTTCCATATAAACATATATCTGTATCTAGAAACTATACATACTGCTGGAAACAAATATATTAAAAACAGGCGTACAACGAACATAAAAAATATCCGTCTAGTCTATGCTTTAAACTTGAAGAATACATATTTCAGTTGCTTCTCTTTTCTTTCACCGCTGATTCCGGCATTAAAGAAACGTTACCCCAAACATAATCTCGCAACACAAAACCACCGACACGGAACCCATCAAAACAGAACAAAAAACAGGAGAGGGCACAAGAACCATACAACGGTGAGCTCGTTATCTTTTAATTTTAATCCAATAACCTAAAAGACAATTTGATCAAAATGAGTTAGTACAAATACAATGTATTTTGCATTAAGGCATGACTCACCTAATGAACATAAAAAGGAGTATAAAAAATGTATATTGATTGATGTTATCAAATATTTAATACTTTTACAGTGTAATTTTGATTTTATAAGGCTTTTAGAAAAACAGGTGCCATATTTGAGCCGTGTCACGACAAAACCAACATAATGGGTTTGCGACCAGCATGGATCCAGACCAGCCTGCGCATCCGCGCAGTCTGATCAGGATCCATGCTGTTCGCTATCAGTTTCTCGACTTGTAAAAGGGTTGGTAAGCGAACAGCATGGATCCTGATAAGAAGTGATGCATAAAGAGGGTTATACGTTATTTCACGATACTATGAGCGGATTATACCTTAGAGCTTTTTACTGAAACTGTGATAAAACGTTCTCCAGTTAAAGCTTACTATACCATATTTGAGATAAATTTGTTTTAGTAAAATTACAACTGAGATGTTCCATTAAAGGTCATTTACAAAAAAAATCCTCTTAATATATGTATAATTGGTTAGTTTTATTTAGATTGATATAATGTTTGCTACCCAAAATCTGACTAAGACACTACGATATTTGCATAACATTGATCTACATATGATAGAGTTACAATCAGTTTATTGGACGCCGCGTGCACGCGGCGTCTTGTAAATATGCATTCGTTCAGTCAGCAATGTGGAAAATTTTAGTCTTGTTTATGTTTAATTTTTTTGTTCTAACAAAATTTACACAGTTTTCAGATTTTCGGATAAAAATAGCTTTTCTGATGATCAACATGTCCCGAGCGTCATGGAATTAAATAAACGTTTAACAAAAAGTGATAACAAGTTGACCCGTCTGGGATTGGAACTCACGACCCTCAGTTCCAATGCAGCTGACAGTAATTGTAGCCTATTTGAATATTCTTCAAAGTATAAAGAGGGTTATACGTTTTTCACGATACTATAAGCGGGTTATACCTTAGAGCTTTTTACTGAAACTGTGATAACGTTCTCCAGTTAAAGCTTACTATACCATATTTGAGATAAATTTGTTTTAGTAAAATTACAACTGAGATGTTCCATTAAAGGTCATTTTCAAAAAAAGCATCTTAATATATGTATAATTGGTTAGTTTTATTTAGATTGAAATAATGTTTGCTACCCAAAATTTGACTTAGAAACTAAGATATTTGCATAACATTGATTTACATATGATAGAGTGACAATCAGATTATTAGACGCCGCGTGCACGCGGCGTCTAGTAAATATGTTCAGTCAGCAATGGGGAAAATTTTAGTCTTGTTGATGTTTATTTTTTTTTTTTGTTCTAACAAAATTACACAGTTTTCAGATTTTCGGATAAAAATAGCTTTTCTGATGATCAACATGTCCCCGAGCGTCATGGAATTAAATAAACGTTTTAACAAAAGTGATACTTCCATGGTTAAATATCACATTCTTTTTATTTTTATCTTTTTTTTTATAATTTACCAATAAAATAACGTGTCAATGAGCCAGTCTATATTCTAAATCATGAAATTATCGAGCGGAATATCTTCGGTTATTATCAATATCAAAAAGGAGAGCCGAAAAGTTGCGGTTGAGGAAATTAGGATATAATCAGCGTAATTCCTTCAATTACCGTAATGCATTTTCAGTCTTTATTTAGTGGTCATTGTATCGACGATATATATGTAATAGAACACGAGGCTATAAAGCAGATTGCCGAGTGTTTTGATGTTCTTTCTCTTTTGTATCATAGTCAAACACAAAGACACGTTCCCTGAAACCACAAAATGAAACCCCACAAAAAAGAAACCAATGAACGAGCATCTGAATATGATATTTCCATCGCTATCCCTTTCTCTGTCGTCACAATATGTAAACCCCGGACAAAATGAACCAATCAATGGGCATGCTCTGGAGTGCGGGTAACTAATACCTGCACTCCAGTTAACGCACTGTGCATGTATATGTATACGATTTAACTCTGACACATTTTCAACAGAAAGGTCCCCAAACTATGATACAAAAAATGTTTTACAACAAACACGGATATGTGTAAACTTACATTTTGAAAATAATAAAAAGGGGTTGAATTGAAAATCTTAAATTTAGTATACAATCATTTAATTATGCCTCAGTCAATCGGGGAGTATTTCTTGGTACTGTAGGCTAGGTGGATTTTGGTAATTTTTTTAACCTTAATACCCTTTTAGGTGTTTAAACCACACGTGTAAGCTATTTTCGCGAAAACAAGTTCACGGCTACGAAAATAAGATTTATTTTTGAATAAGTGCATTTATCCGTTTAAATAATTATGTTAATCATATATTTATGCATTCTTTAAATAATTTACAGCAAATCAAAATTTCAGAATAAAAAAAAAATATCTAAAAAAAGTGCAGTTTGAGCCGAAAATATATACGTACGAAAATACCCCAAATGGCCGTGTTAAGCGAAAAGAAGATCGGGTCTACGAAATTGATATAATGTATTCAAAATGTATTTTTGTTGTTATTAATGTTTAATAAGTTATGAACCATGTTAACAAATCTTATTTTCGTAGTCGCTTTCTTGGGTTATTTTAGCATACATTATTTCTATACTGTATATCCTGAATCATGGTCAGCTCGGTCCCAAAACGTGTTCGCCCCCCACCCCGAGTCAGCTCGGTCCTATTCTAACTCGGCACGGGTCAACTCGGCCCATAATAATATATTACTGGCAATGATTACTTTTATTTTAAAAATAATTGATTACTGCTTCGGATATTCAACTGCAGAGAGCAATTTGCTGATTTTGTACATTAACTGTGACTGTCCACATCATTTTGCGGCGCCTTTGATGTGCAGCATCAACATTTAACTTGTAATTTTTTGTATTGTATTGTTTTTTACGGCAATGAAATGACATTTATAGATTTTAATCCAAATGAACTTTAAATATTAATTCTTGTATCATAGTTTGGCCCCTTTCTGTTGAAAAAGTGTCAGAGTTAAATGATATATCGCACAGTGCGTTAACTGGAGTGCAGGTATTAGTTATCCGCACTCCAAAGCATGCCTATTGATTGGCTCATTTTTGCTAGGGTTTACTTATTGTGACGGCAGGGAAAGGGAAAGCGATAAAAATATCACATTCAGATGCTCGTCTATTGGTTACTTTTTCCGGGGTTTCATATTGTGACAGCAGGGAACGTGTTTTTATGTTTGACTATGATACAAAAGAGAAAGACAATCAAAACACTCGGCATTCTGATTTATACTGGGGGGGGGGGGGGGGCTACGCCCCCTCGTACAAATCAGATAGCCTCGTGTTTCGATGCTCTTTCTATTACTTAAAAAAACCATGCTATTAAAAATAGTATAGTATTTACCAAGTGCAAAACATTAAAAAGTAAAAGGAGCAACATAAAAACAATCATAGCTTCAATAACATTGAAAATAATTTTAAATAAGAAATAAAACTATGGACATATGCGGTCTCGATTTTACAACACAACAACAAAAATTATAAAACCGCAGTTTACACTATTGAGCTAAACAAAAACTGTCAGTTTAATTATTTGATAGAAAGATATCAAATATAAGTACATCTTACTGCGTTCATCTCACGGAATTTACCGAAGATTAATATTTTGTTAGCATTGACCGTATAATCAGTATGCAATTGACAGGTTAATAAAATCAAACAATACCTTAGTGCAAGTAGAGTTAAGAATTTATTTATTTGAGATTTAGCAAAACTGCATGGAAAGTGTAATTTTTCAGTCCCTGTTAATCATCAGAGCATGCAATCGACACTTGGAATGTAACGCAAACCTAATTATAGATAGGGTTCTTAATAGGAAACCGATGTGGAAGTTACTTCTTATCGAAATCATAGTTGAAAGAAATATATTTCACACCATTAATCAAATGAATCATTTTAAATGTATTTGATGAAATTAATGTTTTTGTTTATTTATATATCATACATAATTTCTAAACATTAGAGATTTACTTATTATCGAATGCATCCGCTTCTGATTGGCATAGGAATTGCATTTCTTTATTTATCACAGATTCATGATGGATGCAAAGGTGCTAAAACGATGTTCTGGTGAATGTGGACACAGAAGATTTCGAACTGTTTTACTGATCACTTAAGTCTACAAGAAGAAAATCTGTATATCACAGCGCTAGCAGACATACACAAAATCACAACACTGGTCCGTCACACCACTTGTATTTTCTTAAAAAAACAACATGTAATATACTTGATGTTTAAAATCATTTGTCTGATGTACATGTAATGTATATGGTTCATTAATCTCGTTAGTTAAAAAGTTCTTAAGTTATCAATAACTTGCATTTTAATTCGCTAAAATTTTGTTTATGCAAGGTAAAAGAGTATTAATTTAGGTAGAAAATTATTGCAAATGGCACTAGTACCTGGTACTGCCTTTCGTTCAATTATGGTATTGTATGGGATATCAGAAAACATGAATAATGGCAGAAGACAAAAGGAAAATGGAAAATATATATCTAGTAATTCTTGGCTACTTATCTTTATTTTTATAATAAGAGAACCATTTCTTCGACAGTTAAAATTACTTAAAAAGGTTCAAAAAAATTCATGTCAAAAATAGATATCAACAATCAAGTAACAGGGAAGTAAAATTTCTGTATTATAAATCTGCAAGAAAAATAAGCTCAATTATAGTTACATGTATATATAATGTTGGTATTAATTTTTTTATACCTTAGATATTGAAAGTATTTCGTAGATCGAGAGAGACCTTTTCCGCAAGAGTATACTATATGTTAGAAATTATAGCGTGCATAAGGAAAATATCTTTATTATCTGCTATTCTATTAGATTTTACACTATACATGAGATTTGTAACACAGCACGAGAATGATCTTCACATTTATACATTAAAGTTCATGTTGCA